AATTCTGACTAATTTATTATCAATTACGAATTTTGTCTTGTCAATATTGAAAAATATTTTATTAGTTTACTGTTTTTATTTCATCATCGATAGTTAGTCTATGCGAAAGTTGCACACTGAAAAATATTAAACATCAAATAAACTTTGTAATTTATACTTCTATAACATTAGTAGTATCAATTAAATTGTGAATAGTTTCATTCATATAGCTTTGATGTATTGAAATTATATTTGTACAATTTCGAATAAATATTTTTATTATTTTTTAAATAAAATAATTTTTCTGATTTAATAACGAAGAGACTATTATTAAGTTTTGACTCAAGAAGGAAATCAAAAATCATAATTGAATTTATATTAAAAATAAAATAATCTTTATTATATGAAAAAAAAACGATTACATCATATTCAGTAAGTGTTCTTAATAAACAAATCTTGAAAAATAATCATGCTGAATACACTAGGAAATATTAAAAAAAAACCAAGTAGAATACATTTCTAACGTTTGTTTATTAAATATTTAAATTTATATTTTGTTTAAACATCTTTTATTATTTCCATGTTAATGCACTTAATATATAAAGAAAAGAAATTAGTCATATTTCGTAATCTGTAAGATAAATATACGACTAAAGGACAATGATGGAGAAAAATAATCGAACAAATCAGATATGTCATTTATTTTGATTAGAATAATATCTTAACAAAATGCAAAGTAAATCATCTCATTAAGTAAAAAATGTCTATTTCCTTATTTGTTTTCTTTGCATATAAATGACATTTTTTTCTTCATAAGAAAATTATGTTTTCTCAATATAATCAAAGCATTTTCATGTAAGTCTAAAATTTTAATCGATTTTCATCTTATATAAACGAATTATCTTTTATCTCTTAAATATTTCACGAAGAATCAGAAGAATGTATTTTTACATTTCATACATTAATCATCAAATAAACAAAACAATCAGTTTTTAGTAAAATTTCCTAAGAAAGTCATCAAAATCTATTTGATAATTAAATCTAGAGTATATGGAAGAAATTTGAATTGAATAGAATATCTCAATTCATAGAATAACAAATAAACGAAAAATAATCAATTTAATATGAACAACATTTGATCAAGAAGACCATAAAAAACACACTTAAAAAAATTGAATGAAAACAAACAAGGATTATGTCCAGTAATATCTACAACCAACAAACCATGCAAACGTATTTTTTCTGGCATTCTTTCGAAACATTTCCCTAGTTATTCATTCAAAAGAATAACAAAACATCAAAGGTGTAACTGAGGACCGGAGATAGGGGAAGGGAAGGCACAGAATGGTTGAACTCTAGCAAAAGAGACGCTATGTTGACAGTATCCAGTAGAAGGCGAACTTCAAAGCAGGAACATCATGACTAACGTGCTCCTGTATAATATAGATATTATTTATGAAAGAGAATATACTTAGGACACATACCAAAAGTTTTAACCATGACGTTTAAAAGATCTTTTCGGATTGGGGGCCCTATTGAGAAATGAAAAACCAAATATTCGATGTTGTAGAGCTTTTTGAGGTGCATCGAATGGTATATAGGAAATATTGCTTTCACAGAACTTCGAAGGACCTAGAGTCAATTTACTGATAGACGACTATACACCCACACCGACAAGATGATCGGAGATGCTACATATAGGAAATTGTAGCCCGTCAAAAACTCTTCAAAATCGTATGTGAGAAAAAATATTTTACAAATACCAAGGACTACAATATTCAGAAACTTATCATGCTTGAGTGTGGATGTGTAGTTGTCTATCAGTAAATTGACTCTACTTCCTTTAAAGTCTTATGAAAACAGAATTTCCTATATACCATTCGACGCGCCTCAAAAAGCTCTACAACATCGGATATTTAGTTTTTCATTTCTCAATAGGCTCCTAAACGCTGTGGCCAGAACTTTTGGTATGCCCTAAGTAAATATTGATATATGATTAAAATAATGAATTATTAGATGAAACTTCATACTCAATTTAAATATGTTTGAATATTTAATATACCATATTTATTTAATAATATGATGTAATTTTTAACGTGATAGATAAAACAATCAAGGAATAAATAAATTAATAAAAAAAAAATTTTCATTTAAAAAAAAAATAAATTTTTATGGATTTGTTTTCCAAATAGATCCATTTGGAAATGAATATTGTTGTCGACTAAATGCTTTCATTTGTGTACTATAACCTGGTCGAGTTGGTGCAACATATCGTCCATTTTTAATTATACAAGGATCTTCAAAATGTTCATGTAAATGATCAACATATTCTGTAATACGATTTTCCCATGTTCCACTAACAACAATAAAATCAATCATTGATAAATGTTGTACAAGTTCACATAAACCAACACCACCAGCATGCGGACAAACAGGTACTTGAAATTTCGCTGCTAATAAAAGTACAGCTAAAACTTCATTAACTCCACCTAAACGACATGAATCAATTTGACAAAATTGTAAAGCATTTGCTTGTAACATTTGTTTAAATAAAACTCGATTCATTCCATGTTCACCTGTAGCAACACCAATATTATATGATTTAAGTGCTTGTGAAATTTTAGCATGACCAATAATATCATCTGGTGATGTTGGTTCTTCAATCCAATATGGAGAAAATTCAACTAAATGTTTCATCCATTCAATAGCTTGATTAACATCCCATACTTGATTAGCATCAACCATAATACGTCGTTCATATCCAACTTCTTGACGAATTATTTTTAATCGTCGAATATCATCTTGTAAATCTCGACCAACTTTTATTTTTAAATGTGTAAAACCTTCATTAATAGCTTCTCGACATAAACGTTGAATTTTTTCATCTGAATAACCTAACCAACCAGCTGATGTTGTATATGCTGGATAACCTTGTTCTTCAAGTTGTTTTATACGTTCAGATTTAGTTTTTTCAAGTTCTTTTAACATTTTTAATGCTTCATCAGATGTTATAACATCAGACATATACCGAAAATCAATACATTTTATAAATTGTTCAGGTGTTAAATCCGAAATAAGTCTCCATAATGGTTTATCTTCACGTTTAGCATATAAATCCCAAAGAGCATTAACAATAGCAGCTAAACCTAAATGTATTGCTCCTTTTTCAGGTCCAATCCAACGAAGTTGAGAATCACTTGTTAAATGACGCCAAAAAGCACCAGGATTTGAAATAAATTCTTCAAGTGTACGACCAATAAGTAAATGTCTATGAGCTTCTATAGCAGCACAAACAATTTCTGTACCACGACCAGTTGTAAATGAATGACCATGACCTTCAAGTAATGGATTATCTGTATGAATAATTACATAAGCTGATGAATAATCTCTATTCATAATTAGAAAAAAAAAGTGAGAAATGTTTCAAATTTTTGTTTTTAAATAAAATAGAAAATCTTACGGATCAGGTGACATAGCATCACTACCATCGAGTTGTTTAGATGTTGGAAAACGAATATCATCAACTGTAATTCCAGTTATAGTTGTAATAGATGTAGAAGACATTATTGATTTTGTTTAGATTGAAATAAGAAACTCAACTATTAGTAGAATTATATGAAAAGAAAAGATAAGAATAACACACCCATTTGCTTTTTCTTATCAATATATATATATTTGATTTACTTGACCTTCGTTGGATTTTATACTTTGTTTTTCCTTTGTTCGATCTTACTTGAAATAGATAAAAACCATCTTTTTCTTTTGTTTTAGAGAATGTGTGGTTATCATTTTTTTTTTACCAACCAACTTCAATAATTTAGAGAGGTTAGATTTATTAAATATATTCTTTTTTTCTTTTATTTCAGGTATACCTTTTGAAAGGTGAGCTTTGATAACAACAAAAAAGTAAACAAAAACATTCGACTTATATAATCATTAGGTTAACTTAATGCATTGTAGTTCTTAGACAAATCATCATGTAGACTTTTTTTTTTATTGTAGTATTCAACGATTTTTTTTTGTGAACAACCTATCTAAATTGATGATGATATTATTCGAAATGTTCATCAATCAAATTTTGTTTTTTTTTTAAGTATTCTTGTTCAACTTTCTCTCTATGGTAATTGGCTATAGGGACATAAACAGAAGGCGCCACAAGAAAAGATCTTGAAGGTGAAGTTATAGAGGAGAATATTGCATATTTCATTGGTTTTCTACAATCAAATAAAAGAGACAAAAAAACAACCAGTCAGAGGCAAGATAATAACTGATATGGTATCAAACTCCACTATAGTTTGCTGTATTTCAATATTTTGACTTACTAACATAATCTTTTATGAGTTTAATCTAGAGAAAATTATCTTTGCTATTGAGAGTTAGATGTAGAGTTTTTCATTATGTGTGAATATCATAAACACTTTACCAGTCAAAGTATTCTAGTCTATTCACCCATATTTGTACAAGCATCTCGCTTAGAATGACATTGTGTCAAATAAAAGAACTTCCATATTTTTACATGAATATTGTCTTGTAGCGCACTTGCCTTTACAAGCATATGTGCGACCGATTGTTGAATCACATTCAGATGGGTTTTTTTTTGTATTAAATTGTAACGCGTATATCTATATTTATACTGCCTATCGACACTACCGGTATGACTAAAATTGTTTTTTTTTTAATTCCACTCTATTTTTAGTAAAATACGTAACTGTATGAATTGATCTCTAGTCGAGTTTTAATTTTGTCCTTAACATAAATATTGAGTCATAAAAATGAATTAGAAAATTGCTGAAGCGATAAAATAACATGTCATTTATATATGTTGCCAATCATAGAATCTATTGCACTTTATTCATCAGTCAATTTAGATTTGATAAATATTTTTCTTTAGACGAAACCCTCTAAATAGGAATCTATTTGTAACCCAATAGATTAACTAAAGAAAAGAAATCTATATTGGATATTTGACTTTCTTTTTTAATCTTATATAGATTCTTTCCATTAAAATAAAAAATAATTCTATGAGTGATTGGCATTTATTACTTTCTGATAAAGTCGTCTTTTTAACTGGCGGTTCTGGTTGGATTGCACGACATATTGCTAAGACATGTTATGATCATGGAGCTCGTATTGTCTTAGCCGATTTGAATATTAATACAATAACTGAAGTAAAAAATGAAACATTCGGTTCAGAAAATACAGATAATCGAATTCTTATAGTTCAACTTGATGTACATGATGAAGAATCGATAAAAAAAGCTATTGAATTAACATTAAACAAATGGAATACAATAAATATTCTTATTAATACGTTTGTTGAAATAATATATTTCTAATTAATCATTATATTGTCTGTTTTTTTATTTATTTATTTCTAGAGCAGCTGTATTTACACTTGGTTATGTTGAAGATGTTTCTGCTAATGATTGGTCACATATAATGAATATTAATGTTCGTGGTTATGCTTTAATGGTCAAATATATTGTACCTATTCTTAAAAAACAAAATAATGGATCAATTATTAATTTTGCTAGTGCTGCTGGACTTGTTGCACATTCCAATTTTTTACCTTACTCAACATCGAAAGCTGCTATTATTCAAATGACACGTAATTTAGCACTTGATCTTGGTTCATTTAATATTCGAGTTAATTCAATAAGTCCAGGTGCCATTGAATCACCAACATTATATCGTACAGCAGCTGAATCAGGTGTTACAAAAGAACAATTTGATGCACAACATGCAGGAAAATGTATTAAACGATTAGGTCATCCACAAGAAGTTGCTAATATGACTGTTTTTCTTGCTTCAGATCTATGTCCATTTATAACAGGAACAAATATCGTTATTGATGGGGGATATACAACTGTTTAAATTTATTTTGTTCAGTTCGCTTTGATTTTCATAAGATAAATTTAAAAAAAGAATATAGAGTAGTTATGACCAATTAAGAAAAACAAAAATAAATTGTTAATTACAACTCGGCATAGTTATCCATACATGGGCAAAATTTGAACTTAAAAGTGAAGAAATCTGAGTAAGGACCTGCTGGTTCACATTTTCGTGAATTTGGGCCCAGGTGAGTCCAAATCCGAGGTTTTTTCTATCAGTACCTAGCACCTTCCATGCACATGAGCAAATAAAGAATCAAGATTTTAGCTATTTATTTGTTCCTCTCAGGAGAAAAACTCAACATACAATTATATATTGTTGCTGGATTTTTCATCCAGAGAACAGTGGGTCCACAAAAATGTGTAATTTGACCCAACAAAAAATAAAAGGTTAAACTCAGACCTGAAAAAAAAAGTCTGGACCCGAGTCCGGTTCTAGAAGGATCCCAGCTCTCTAAATCTAAGTCTACTACTGAACAGACAACGATTGATAGCATTTGAAATGTAAGCGTTTCTATTTCTGAACAGCATTGCGTACTTTGAACATACGAAATCTTTCTTAGAGTGTAAAAGATGGTTGTGAAATACATCGTCAAACAAGAATCGATCAGCAGAAAAAAAAAACTATTCATCGGATAGGAAATACTCTTCATGTAATACTGAGTTCGATGTTGTTGATGAATATCTGGTTACTTTTCACTTTTTTACTTTCAGCTTGATCCAAATTGTGATTTTCGAAAAAAAAAGGATCAAATTCCATAAAGAACACTATTTTCAGTTTGTTATTCGATACAGTTATGATTGTTCGGAAATGTCCAGATATTTTGAAAGTTTTCTAAAAATTGAACAATTTTTCTATAGAAAGTTTATTTGTATATCACTTCGTTTCGTAGTAAAATGCTACATTCTCAGATCTGCTTTTAAAAAAATTTCATTTTCTGAAATTCTGTAACTGCCGATATTTACACTGAATAACTCAGCTTGATCTAAAGAAAAATCTAGGAAATTCTTATTGATAGTAGATCTAAATGTTCTGTATCTATAATAAAAGTTTCACAGAATTTGCTTTTGCTATTGACGAGAAACAGATGTTACAATGTAAAAAAAAACAAATCAAACCCCCCAATGCGTGATAACGCCATACTGAAATGAAAATTATTGTATCAAAATATAGCAATTAAATTGTTCTACTACATTGAACGAATATAATTTCCTCCATTTTATTTTTTGATCAAATATTAATCATACAATAAAATTCAGTACAGAATTTAAAGTTTTTTCTTTTGTTAGAAAGTTCTATTGCTATATGATCCCACTTCATAGGTTCAACCAGTTCATTTCAAAAATAATAATCTAATGAACGTAAATCAGATGAATGCAAGAAAATGACCTCGAGACTATTTTTAATTTATATGATCTCTGTGAGGTCTAAGACTATCCTGCTGGCTTGCCCAGCTGTTGTTCAACATATTCTGACGCTTCTGAAAACTACAGGAAGGACATCCTTGATGTATCTTTCTGCATCCATCCATTGTTCCATCTTTCAAAATTACCAGCAGTGTCAGTTCTTGACGGCATATACTGTCATCTTTTCTGTCTGTCTCTTTTCTATTGTCTATGCTCACTCGATCTTTCTAAGAATAGTACATCTCATTTAGATAAAAAATATTTTCATTAATACACAATGTCTATTTTTGATATAATCTTTGTTGTAATTATTTAACATTTAATTTACAAGCTTTGTTCTCGTATTCTTTTTCAAGATCAATCAACTTTGCTTTCTGTATTTCTTTGTACGGGAAACAGTCAAAGTCTTGATGTAATATTCACAGCACGCATCATCTTGACTTATTCATTTTTAGCAGTTAATTTTCTTGTTGATGCCGGTTTATTCTGAGCCAACCGCCATTTTACCTTTGAGATATTAGATTCTATTCGAACTTTTCATGAACAGTCAGATTGAGACGATGATTGACGAAGATAATGTTGTTGATCGTTTTCAGTCATAATTTAATTGTTGTTAATGAAATCAAGTCGACTAAATTATGTTAAATTTACATCGGTTCATCGCCATTCTCATAGTTTGTTTCTTTTTTATAACTATGTCTATATTTTTACTTATTATCCTTTTCTAAATATAGTTTGTATATTTTTCTTATATCTAATCATATGTCATTTTGGTAAACAATTTTAAGTGCAATATTTTGACAAAAAAATAAAAATGTTTTAATTAAATGAAGAATAGAGAAGAAATTTTGAGTATGGAATGAGTATTATTTATTCTGCATGATTTTTTTTTAAAGTAAAGTGGCTTTTGAGCACATGAGTTAATTAATGTCAAAATAAGTCGTAACAAAAAATAAAATTATTTCTTTCTCTCTCTTCAGACAAAGTACTGGAATCTATTCAATCAACTAAGCTTTTCTTTTCATTTGGATTTTCTATTGAATAGTTTTATCTTCAGATTAAAAAAAGTCTTATATGAATTTCTTTTCATTGTGAAATCTTAATAAACAAAAAAAAAAAAGAAGAAAAAAAAAACAACAACAATGATCTTTTTTGTTTGATCCCTATAGAAAAATTTGCAAATAACATCAATTCTTCTTTTTTGTATTAAATCGAAAAAAAACTGTCATCAAATCTATATTGTCATAAATAATAAATCCTTCTTTTAATCTTATATACATAAATTATAAAAAAGAAAATAGTAATGACAAAACAAATCTTTTCTTTTTTTCTATCACACAACTAATGCTTGCTATGATTTCCATTAGGCAATTGCGATAAAGTTTTTGAATCACTTATTGATGAATTTGGTGGTGTTAGTGGTGGTGGTAAAGCAGATGTAAATAAAAATTTTGTTTGATATCTTTTTGGTTGTTGCATTATATTCATAGAATATTTTTTTTGTTGTAATTGTTTTTGTAATTGTTGTTGTTCACGTTCTTGTTGTTCAACAGCAGAAAAACGATACTGTGATGCTGTACGACGATGATAATGACCGGGAACACCTGTATGACCGGCATGTGTACGTGAACCAATAACAAATTTATATTTTGACATTGAAAATGTGAATACATTATCACGACGACGAAAAAATGAATTATTTATTCTTCCTAATTTTCTATCATGATTGGGATATGTCAATCGTTGTTGACGAAGATTATTTGTACAAGCTAATGTTGGAGATAGTGGACTATTATTGTTATTATTATTATTATTATTATTATTATTATTATTATTATTATTATAACCATTTGAACGAACATTTCTATATGATGTTGATGGAGTTGGTATCGTCCAACGACATAATGTTCGTCTAAAACCATTTCGATAACGTTTTGACATTATATTATATAATACAGGATTAACAGTAGCAGATAAATAATAAAGAATACCTATAAAAATATTAAATATTTTGAATTTTATTAAGATTTATTTGATTGAAAATAAAATAGATTTTTATATTCTATTCAATTGTATTATTATATGAATAAATAATATGCTCATTAGACATGACACATGGGACAGTTTATTACGAAGCTAAATTTAATAGATATATATATAAATGTTAAGAACATATGGAAACCAAAATAATTATTTCCGTTTTTATATGAAGTTTGGTTTTATAATTGTCAAGAGATACATAAATATATTCTTCATAACAATTTCCTTTCCTTCTCAGTGGGATCTCTTAATAGTCGATATTATTCATAGAAATTCTTTTATATTTATTTTACATTAGTATTAATTAGATTCTAAGCTAGGTAGATTTTGTACCTGAGGTAAAAAAGAGAATTTCTTGAAATTTAGTTGCTGCATCCGATATTGTACTTTTATTTGCTTTATCCAATAAACGTGTAACAAATGCAGTTATACGTTGAGTATGAAATGGTGCCCAACAAATAAAAAATGCAATAACCACTGCCACTATTCATTAAAAAGAGAAAAATCAATATATATAAATAAATAAAAGTTTGATTTATCTTTTCTTACCAAGCATTTTGAGTACTGCTCTTCTTGGATTTTTTGTTGATCTTGATTTAATTGTTGATATCGTATTTTGTCGTGACCACACAAGATGTTCACCATTTTGATGTAATAATATATGTTCAGGTTTTGTATTACTTGTTTTATGACGTTGATTATTTGGTGGACGACGACTCGCTTTATACAATGTTATACCCATTAATATATAAAGTACACTTATAACAAATATTGGAATGACAAAAACAAGAAATGTTGTTACTGCCATATAATATAACATAGGTTCCCAGTAATCTGGACGTATAGCACAAATACGACTGTCGAGAATTTGAACTGTTTGATTACGAATTTCATTTGTTACACTAACAAAAACACCAGCAGTAAATGTATAAGGAACAGCAAGTAGGAATGATAGAAACCAAACAATCATTATCATTTTTAATGCTCGACTTAAACCACCAAGTACTTTTTGAGATATTATTGGAAAACAAATAGCTAAATAACGTTCAACTGTAAAGCATAATACAGTTAATATTGATGCTGATGTTACAATTTCAAGTACGACGGTACGAAATACACAAAATGCTTCACCAAAAATCCTGGATTAATAAAAGACAAAAAAAAAAGAAATTCACCTATTGCTTTTTCTTTTATCCTTAAAAATAATTATTTACCAAGGCCATGATTCGTATATATTGTACATCTCTACAGAAAGACCTAGAATTAAAAAATAATATATTATTTATCTATTTAGTTTTGTTAACTCTATTTATTGTTTAATTTTTCTTTCGAATTATATTAAAATTGATTATACTCATATCATAATTATAGATTTTGTATGTCTTATTAGAAATATTCATTTTGTTTCCACAAAAAGAAAAAAAACGATATTAAAAATTGTCTGACACTTTTAATGAATCATTTAACTAGAATTAATAAGTTTCTTTACAAATAAAAATATGTCTGAAAGATTAACAATACTAATAAAAATACTAA